CTTTTGCTGTCCTGCTCAGGGAGGGGTCTGTGGGTCAGGGAGGGGTCTGTGGGTCAGGGAGTGGTCTGTGGATCAGGGTCGTCTGAGGAGGAAGCAGATGAAGGGAGTTGTGCACGTGAACTTTTTTTAAGATTTTTTTTTTTTTATTTCAAAGGTCCTCATGGCTCAGCAGCAGCAGCAGCAGAAGCATAAATATTACTGTTAAGAAAACTGATAATAAAGCTGAATAAAATTCTAAGTCTGATTCTGAAGGTAAATTAAATATCTGACAGTGATCATTACACAACATGGCTGTAATTCTTCACCTCACCATCTGTGTCGCAGTTTCCCATCTCCAAAATTAGCGTAGGCATGGGTCAGAGCTGGCGTGAGGCACCGCACATTTTCACGTCAAGTTTGGATTTTATAAATCACAACCTTGGTGTGAAAAGTGGCGTACGCAAGTTTCTGAGCTCAAATTGTGCGTACGCCAGTTTTATAAATCCGACCCCTGGAGAGGAGGACTTTTGAATAAATAGGATCCATTCTTTGATCAGTGAGAGCCTTTGAGTTTATTTTTTACTCTAAATCAAACACTGAGGAGAGATCTATAAACCCTAAATCACAATAAAAGTTACCGTTAAGCAGTGAGACAAAAAAAGGCTCAAAAGTGTAAAAATATCTTTGTCAAAAGACAAAAAGTGTTATTTGTGTGGGTCGTAGAGACGTGTCTTACAGTTAGACTGGATGAACATTAGTTTGATGGTAGAATACCAGGAATATGAATACTTTTATTTCAGTATTTGTACATGTGTTAGTATACAGATATGAGCAGATGGTCATGTTATTGTATAAATGTTACTCACTTGTCCTTGGGGTCCTCAAAGCCCTGTTAGAAAGAGAAAAGATGATTAACTGAAAATAAAACTTTCTAAATCTTCACGTTTTTTCCTGGTTTAATTCAGAGATAGACAGCAGAGATATTTTGCAGTGGCTTTGATTAAAAAGGTCAAAAACAATAAATTTCTGCTGTAGGCAGGCTTTTTAAATAACTTTATTTAAAAAGATTTCATTTAATTTTGACTGGATTAGGCTAGATTTAGGCCAGTTTGAGTGGAGACAAAACAAAAATACTCCCACATCAAAACAGCTGCAGTAAAAAAAGTGTTGTAGTGATTTAGATAAATATTATTTACAAAGCTTTACACCATCAGGACCCACCTACACAGTTATTCCAACAGCTTGTTTTTAATATTCCTGCTAGAAGAGCTACAGCCAGTTTCTGTTTTTTACATATTTCCAAAAGACTAAATAAAACAAAACAAGATATTTTAAAACATAACAAAACAAAGTAAACTATGAAACATAAAACGAGCTGTAATGTAAAAATACCATTTGGATGTCCCACTAAAACRTTGCAGTTTGGCAGTAATCTACTTTAACCCTGTTTGGATTATTAGCTGTTAAATCTGGTGAAAAATAAACTACTTCTCCATGCTTCAGCAGGTAAGATGCTAATTGTTTAAAATTGTTCTTTAAAACAGTATTTCTAAAGGTTTAAACTTATTTAGTTGATCATTCTCACACTAATAAACTGGAAGATATTTGTTTTATTCTGACAAATAGTGTCACTTTTTAAAGAAAGCCAAAACATTTTTCAGCTAACACAATTGTTTATCTTTTTAATGTGTAAAATCATAACTTTTCTTAGTATTTCTGTCACTGACAACAGATACTTATCTGTTTATTCTCAGTGAATTAATGTTTAAGTTGTTTAACATGTCTCTCAGTATGTAGATGAGCTCTTATTTCTGCTTTTTCTTGCATTCATATAAACACAATATATATTTTTATTTCCCACAATATTGTAACTTCTACAAACTGCATCACAATATTTTATTTTCAGATAAATATTTTATTTCATTAACTGTATTCAATAGGTTCAGCTATAAATCCTTTATTATTATTGTTATTAATGTTATTATTATATCAAAAACCACTGATTTGTAAGCCTGATGGCAAAATGATTAGTTAGAGGCAAGTGGGAAGAAAAAAAAAGAAAAGTGACAGGTTCCTGTTGGTAGGAAAGAAAACATCCTACATGTGCCGCTGTATGACAGATACAGGGGATTCTGATGTTATCAGTCCATGAAATGGACGTTATTAGGTGTTATCAGTCCCATACAATGGCTTCAGAGGGTCCCTACTGTGCCTTCTAGGCTTCAGACTGTCCCAACAGTGCCACCTACTGGGTTACTATATCAATGACAATGAATGTGTAAATAACCAAAAGATATTGTAATAAAATTTTTTGTGTCCGTGTCAGTCTCAAACCCTGATCTCTGGTCCGACACTCTACCCATTGCCCTATTGGAAGGCCACAATATACACCCGTTGTAGGGCGGGGTCTTTAGTGCTAACCATTTCATTTGCTCTAAAGTTAACCTTAGTGGATTTAAGCCTCATATTAACCAGTTTGTTTTATGCCTCATTAACCAGATAGTGGTTTTATGCCTCATATTAACCAGATAGTGGTTTTATGTCTCATATTAA